CTTTATCACCTTTCTCTAGTAAATGTACGATTTCATTTTTATCTTCCAACAAGCCTGCGAGACATTCCAATATTTCAGCTGAGGCCAAATTTATTTCATCCAGTAAAACCCAGTATCCTTCTTGCATAGCTTTTACTAAGGAACCTTCAATAAATGCAAAAGTCAATCTAGTTGCTGCCTTCACTTGTTGTTCTAATTTCGTAAGTTTATGGCCGAATGTGAGCCATGTTTTTAATTTATTTTCTTGTCTTTCTTTACCCAAGCGAGTTACGGCCGCTTTATGACTTTGTTTCATTAGAGTTACTAGAGCTAGCCAGTTCTCTGTTTCATAACACGTTTCTATATGACCAAGGAATTTTTGATTCTTATTCACATTGTAGAAACCTTGGAATAATTCTATGAATTCGTTTTTAATAGGCCGGATAACGAATTTGAGATCGACTGGTTTGTAGCCACCGAGTAAATCGGCTGAATCCGATTGTTGGTTCATATTTATGACGACTAATTTATGTCCGGTTTGTTTAGCTAGATATTGCACGGACGATGTTTTTCCCGTACCCGTCTCACCAACTAAGAGTACGGGTTCGTTGGACGTAACGCAACAAGCGATACGTTCAAGTAAACAAGCCGATTGTCTCGTAAATGAAAACACTTCTTGCTTTTCATTCAAATTTATTGTTTCCAATGTTTTTTCTATTCTAGGTACTTTAGCACGACCAACTTCCAAAGATGTTGGGTTAAGAGATACATGAGGTTTGTAGTGTTTCATATAGAATTCTGATTTAGTTTCTACAATACCTAGACATGTGCCTATTTTCTTGGCCAATTCCAATCTATGTACCGGTGAAGACACTGAACATGTAAAAATATCCAAAGCATCTTGTAGTACTTTTAACGCAGATTCTGGACTGGATACTTTAAAATCTATCACAGCTCTCGAACACCATTTGATTAGATCTCTAGTTGAGATAAGCCTAGAGCCTCGTATGGATATCAAATTTGTTTCTTTATCTGTATTAGGAACAGTTTCAGTTGTCTGTAAAGATGTATCATGGCTGCCTACAGAAAACATCATGAACACTTCTATTATTCTGGGACAGATTGTTGTAAGACTGGGATATAATGTTTGTACGATCTCAGCTAACTCAGACCGTGAGAGTGGTTCCACATTAATCTGAGTCAAATGTCTTTGCAGTAATGTGCTTGAATTTGACATCTTTTTTTGGTATCCATAGTTGGTTGTTACTGTTCTGTGGATAAAATCAAAGTTTTAACAACGATAACTTTTAAAATGTATTATAACAAAGTATAAATGTACAACATTTGATTTATTTTAAAGCAACCGCTTCACAATTAGTATACATGATTAATAAAAATCGAATTTTTAAGAATTCCTTGAATTGGAATTTATTAACCATCGAAAGATAGTACATGCTAGTTCAATAAATACTAATTCACTCGTTCTTAAATTTCTCAATATCACATTTAGAAAAACAGACACTGGCAACTTATTCCTATTTATAATCTGTTAAATTAAACTAACCTCTGTGTGACAAAGAGTTGAAAGCCAGGAGTAACAGGCAGTGCGTCCCTGTAGCCCGGCACACACAGGGTGTTCCTCTCCAACAGCGAGCTGAGAGTCGACGCCACGTCCAGCGCCGCGCAGTCTATATCTTCTAATAGCAACCAATCACCATTTTGTACCGCCTATAAAAACCAGGTGTTACATTATAATCACATACTGTATACCCTAAAAAATAGTAAACACATTTTTAACACTGTGTTCGCAGATTACTATTATGGACATCAACATATATAACAATAAATATGTACTCTATAATTTATAAGTAAAGATTTTGTCAAGCCTAACCATAATATTTCAATAACCATATGTCAAATGTCAACGCTAATCACTTGAGTTTTGGTTTAAAAGTGCTATCATTTAGGTAAAATATTTTAACTCTATTTTTTGGTGAAGTCCATACTAAAACAAAAGATTAGATATAAGGAATTGATAATACTTTGAGTGCAAACTTTTTAATGTGAACAAGTCTTTATATTTACTTAATATTTACATGTACAGACTAAAAGACAAAACTAAATAAAAGCCTGTAAAAGAAGATTACCTCTGTGAGAACACCAGGGCTCCAAATAAATTCTCCAGGGACATCAGTACATTGATGTGAGCCTAGTAACATACGGGAATCAGTTTGGTCTCCTAGTTGTATCTTTTTGAAAGCAACACCTTTTCTGCCAGTAACAGCGGCTAAATGTTCCACAAGAGATGTCTTTCCGGAACCTACTGGGCCCATTAGGGATAAAGCTTTACCTGTAAAATAAAAAAAAAAACAAATACAATATCTGTAATTGGTAGTTCAACTTATTGAAAAGTCCATTCAATTAATTGATAAATGATACAATTTATTAAAAGAAAAACAATAATCAAAAAGTTATCAAAAACCAAACTTAACAATAACAATTATTTAAAACATTATTTACCCGAGGCCACAGCTAAAGCTAAACTTCTCAAATTATTTACAGTAGAAGTAACAGGAACAAGGATACCACTCTGTACATTAGTTTTATCATAAACTGGCAACATTATACCATCTATGTTAACAACGCTGGCTGTAGATAAATCTGTATTATCAGTGTTGCCCTCTATAGTTAATGCATCTTTGTTTTTTAATGCAATATTTATCTCCAAACAATCTTCATCAGATATATTAAGGTGTTTAGTCAATAATTTTGACTGAATTTCTGTCATGTTTGTTAATATAGCAATACATTCTTTTACCATCCTGAAAAAAAATATCTGCTTAGAAGGTATAGAGACCCTCTCTGGGAACATAGAGAGCTGGTAATAATGATTTCAGCAATGGGGCCTTAGGAACATCATTTTAATTATAAATAATAAAGTATAGTATGTAACACATTGTAAATATTATTTTTACATTCTAACTAGCTTTCGCCCGCGCTGCGTCCACATAGAATT